TCATGGGGGAAAGCAAATCTTAAAGTGAAGGCATCTGCAGTGAAGGAGCTAGAAAATTACCAAAGCATGATCACAATGACATGCAAAACAAGAAGTGTCTGGTGAGTTACCAAAAACCCTCATAACAAGGTTTGTCCTACTAAATTACCCAAACCCTAGAGAAAACAAAACCCAAAATACCTACAAAACCATGAAATGAATTCTGACACTGTGGTTATCAACATGGGATTTGTGCCAGAGGCGTGAATTCAAATGTGGTCCCACTATATCCTTTCTATCTGGGCAACTCATGCATCTTTGCTATGATCCAGTTTCCTTGCCTATTAAATAAGTTTAATATTAGTATCTATTTCACATAACTGCTTGGAGAATTAAATCCCCTAATATTTTGTAAAGTGCAGAGTATAGTGAGTGCTATATGTAAACACCTAAAAAACATGTCTTTACTATTATCATGACTAACCAAAACTTTCGCTTCAAGCTATGGAAGCAAGCTCCATATGATATGCTGAATAGATTTCAAAGTAATTATATGAAATACATTGTACAAGTACTAGTCTAATATGTAATGCTCAAAATCTATAATCATCTGAGGTTAACAGGAAAGCTCTTTAAATGTAAAAATGTAGAATATATTTGTTCATCAGTGTGCAAGGTGACAATAACAATAATCATTTAATTGCTTTAAAAATGAGCATGGAATAGTGTTGCTGTTATAATGTGCTAGTGAGACCCCTAGTGTCTCAGAATGTGACCTTACATGGAAATAAGGTCTTTGCAGAAATGAGGTCAATAGGTTAGGTCCTAAATCCATATGACATGACCAGTGTCTTACAGAAAAGGAACTGGGACACAGATGTGTACATGGGGAGAGCACCGTGTGTACAGGCAGACAGTGACCAGGGTGATATTTTCTAAACCAGTGATTGCCAAAGATTTACCAGCCACCCATGTGAAACAAAAAGAAAAATAGAACACATCCTTCTCCACAGCCTTCAAAAAATGTAACTTTGTGATACTTGGGTCAGACTTATTGTTTACAGAATGGGGAGACAACAAACTTGTTTTGAAAACATCTGATTAGCAGTATTTTGTAATGAGAGTCCTGGGAAACTAACATATATACTTTTGAAAGTTTTATTGTTTCATTTAACTCTTGCAGCAAGCACATTGAAAATAAAATGAATAGAAAATAAATGCAATAATTTCCGTAGAGAATAATAAAATTTGAAACTTTGTTACTTGAAAATTATTAGGATTAAAAATCTAAATATCAGAACAAATATAGATAAATTCTGATATATATATATATATATATATAAAATGTCACAACAGGAATATATGAGTGCAACAAATCTCAAATTTCAAATTTCCAAAATATGATATACTAAGTGCTTTGCAAGGTGCAGATAAACAAATATTTTTAGTTTGCATTTTAATAAGGGAAAAATAGCTAAAAGGAATACATGACTATACTAAAATTAATAAGTTCATACTTAAAACTTTCACTTTCATGTGTTTGATTCACTTTGCTTGGTGCCATTTACTATTCATCATAAATAAATGTTAGTTAAAATACTGTAATAACTTCATGTGATGTTTTAATGAAATATGTAATATAATTTTGTATTCCCAAGGATTAATATTGTGATTTTCTGTTTCATGTGCCTCACATTCTGAATTTGGCAGCACTACAATTTTGAAATAATTTGGGCTTGACATAGCATGAGAGGAAATGGAAATGCATAATGCAGATCAAGTTGTGCTTCCAAGGATATTCATGAAGAAAGGAGAATATTGATTAGCATCCTTTGCTCAGCTATACAATGCTGCTTTAAAGTTAGTTGTAAGACAAGCATGGTGGTGCATGCTTATAATCCCAGCATTCAGGAGGCTGATGAGGGAGGAGGACCACCAGGAGTTTGAGGCCAGTATGTGTTATATAGTGAAATCAAGGCCAGAAAGAACTTCATAGCAAGACCCTGACTCAAAAATAAAAAGAAATAAAATTAATTGCACTTGTGTTGATGTAGTTCCAATTAGTAACTATTTTATTCTTTATGTAGAATTATAAAATGGGGACAGAATAATACATTTCTCTTAGTATTAATTCAGGGAGATTTTCAGATAGTTGCTCCATAAAAGCAACTTATTACACCCTACAGTATTATTAAATATTCTAAGTAGAAATGTACTGGTATAACTTCAAAAACATAGACAATTTTAAAGTGAAGAAAACAGGCAAAATGGGTTAAGCGATGAACCTAATGGAAACTAGAAGATGCGATCTATCCACAAATTGAGAAAAAGTAGAAATGAAAACAGGGAAGAAAGACAAAGAGATAGCAGAAGAGGATAGAAGATGGACCTTTTCTATCTTTCCCTCTGACTCCACGGAGCCATAGTGCTAAGTACTCTTAGGGAAGGGGGTAATTCCGCGGGCTTCTGTGCCAGGACTGAGCAAGGCACTCTATGCAGCCACCTACATACTTCTGCAGCCTGAAAGCTGGTCCCATTCATGCTGCCTCTGCAGTGTCCCAACAGTGCAGCTTCTGCCTCTGTCTCAGTGTCTCTTTCCCAGCTGGCTGGGGAGGGGGTGTGTTATGTGTGTGTGTGGCGGGGGGGGGGGGGATCTCCGCGGGCCTACTTCTTACTGCCTAGCCACTCGGTGGAGCCAGGGCCGCTGCTGCTACTCTTCTGTCTGTTGGGTGTTGTTGTGACATAATTACTACTACTGTAGAAAAACATGTGGGACATGTGCTTTACAAATGCCCATTTAATGTGCCTGGTTCTATCCCCAGTACCAGTAGAAAAAAGATATTTGAATTGCAGGCTATCAACTATCTATAGATAGATATATATTTCCTTTTGTGATTATTTCTACTGAACCAATTTTACAATTCTGAAATAGGACAACTGACTGCATATGTCTTGGCAGAAGAGCATTCTCTGATAGTGAAAAGTGTTTACAGATCCCTCATTTATTATTATTTGACTTCTCTATCATCATGGACTTTTAGCTTTAGAGATGACTTTGATTTTGTCAGTGAAAAAGCTGTGATTCACCGAAGTTAAGTGGATTTCTAAGGCTCACAAGTGGCATTACAATAATATACTAATTATTTAAAAGTTCATTATTAATTAAATTAACTCTGAAAGATAAAAATGTTTCTAAAATCAAAATTTACCTTACTAGAAAATCCACTTTACTAGAAAATTTCCTTAGGTATCACTTAGAACTGGCCCACTAAATATTCATTTATTTATTAATCCAAGATCTTTATGTATCTAAATTTCCTCTAGAATCTATAATTTGACATCACTGTTCTAAAGAATTTAGGTAAGGCCCAGTTTAAACCCCTTTAGTTACAATATTGAAATTTTAGCTTTTCTCAAATTTATGTATTTTGCTTAAGTACTACAATATGTTTTGTCTCAAAAAACAAACAAATGACTCTTACAAGAAATTTTTCTAAAGAAAGGTACAAATATCCACAACTTAGACAAAAGATCTCATCAGATTACTATCAATATCTATGGATACAGACCAGCATCAGAGAATTTGTTACAGCTGATAAAAAAGAAGTTTAACAGGAATTTTGAACTTCGCTATGAGATTGAAGTCATTTTTGTCATTAATTAAATATAATTTATTTGATATGAGGTGTGATCAAAATATAGGGCTCGTGTTTAAACTTTAAAAAATGTATTTACAGTAAAAGACACATTGTCAATCCACTTCAAGATAGTTCCCCTCATTACAAACATATGGATTCTATTGTTCTTGCCACTTTCCAAAGCATTTCTGAAAGTCCTCTTTCATAAGTGTCATTATAAGGTGTGATGACAAATATGGTGAACACTGCTGTTGAGTGCCATTCAATGGAAAGCCAGGCTCATAAAAATATTATGGTGTGTCATCATCCAACTTATGCATATACCTGACAGCATACAACTTCTGGGTCTTCCCCAAAGTCAAAATGTCCATGATATGTCAAAATATAGAATTGATGCAGGACACCAGTACAGCCACAAGGGAACAAATATGACACAAACAAAAGAAGATCTCTGGCACTGCTTCACAAAATGGCAAGAATAATGGAATAAGAGTGTTTGAAACAAGAAAGTATCTTGATGGCAATGTGTCTTTTACTGTAATAAAATATTTCAATTGAAATACTCACCACATTTTTCAATCATTCCTCACAGAAATTGTATGCTGAAATTAACACATGTTCTTATATAACATTAGAAAAAAGAAAATTATGTCAGTCAAGAATGGAAGGGTCAGCCAGGGATTTAGCTCAGTGGCACCACAGCTGCCTCACAAGCACAAGGTCCTGAGTTTGATCCCTGGTACCAGAAAAAAAAAAAAAAAGAATGGAAGGGCCAATGTTTCATTACAGAAAATTTATTCTGCATAAAATATGCAAAAATACTTTCAACCATATTATGTAATTTTCACCATACTTATGCATTTGTACATATGCATGCTTTATCTGTATTGCATTAACTCTAGCATGTGACTATAAATTTTATTTATCGCCAAGTAGTATATCAATGAAGTTTTAAAACCAAAATTAATATGATTCTTAAGTCAGTAGAACACAGAAATTACATGTATAATTGGTCCTAAATTTATAGTAAAATATGGAGAAATTTCTTTCAGACACATGCGTTGCCTATAAATTTGTGATAGATTTTTATGTTATCTTATATAGGAATACTTAAGACCTTTCAAATAAATAATTGGTTCACAAACCAATAAACCGATTTTTTTTGTCCCTAGAAACAAAATATTATGCTTCATATGACTTGAGAATCTGAAACTGAACAAGGAATAATTTTATTTTAGAAAAAATATTAACAAGGTTAAGACAGTCATTACAGAATGGAATGTCACGTTGAGGAGTACTTCAGTTTTTGATGGATTGATGTAAATACTTGTGTACAACTGAAATAAACCCACATTAAACACTGCATGTAGGGATATAACATACCCAGGCGCTAACACATCTTCCACAAGTGGTGATCTTGAAATCTCCATAGAGATCTTTGATGGCACCAGTTGTGAAGAAACCTTCCACCATCAGCAAAATGCCATACACAAAGAATGCAGCTGCAATGCCGTAGATCACATACTTAAAGATGTCAATCCTGGAGGGGGAAAAAGACAGTGTAGTTTATCTTAATAACTTTTTATTGATGGTCTGCAGAAATTGATTCTCAAATGCTCAGAATTCTTTTGAATTAAAAATTATAGTGTATTGATTTTCATAATACAGGAAATATTTTAAAACATTTTATTTTATATTTCTAATGTTCATATATACATTTTGCTCTGTATTTTTGACAAAGAATTTGAGATTTTTGTATTTGTAACTTTCTCCGTCTTCCTTTTCAGCTTCCTCCTTTCCTGGTTCAGATCAAGGAAATCTTTTTTTTTTTTTTTTTAAGGGAATCTTAAATAAGGTGAAACTTATGCTTCCAAATGAATTTGCTACATCTTGTTCAATAAGCAGGATAATCATCATAAAAGGTCACTATGAGGCAAAACAAGTGATTTATATGCATAGTTTTAAACATATTAGTTTTAAAACATATTAGGAGAAAAAGACAACTTTGTGTTTAATGGTGTAGTAATTATTCATAAATGACATAAACTCCATATTTTTGTCATTAATTTTAATTGTGCATTATTTCATGCTCCCCATAAAACCTCACTAGTATTTGCTGATAATGACTGTCAGTAATGAAAAGAATATGATTTTACAGGTAAATTATAATTTTGAGAATAATGCCTTTAAGGCAAAATCATTAGTGGATATTATATATTCAGACTTGAACCAAACCGAAGCATAATTCCATAAAGGCATGGAAAGATAACCTTCCTTTTCCCACAAATCACTGTCATATGGAAAAAAAATTTATGTGAGTAAACCAAAACATTTCCATAGAAAATGTGAAAGTATTCACACACAGAAATGATACATAGGTGATAGATGGAGATAGGAAGATAGATGATTGGTAGAGAGATATTCTTATTCTATATTTCAGTAACTAGGTAATGAATATCTATTTTAATTAACAATAATAATTAGCATATTTTGAATTAAAATTCTATTTGTATATCTATAGAAAATATTTATTCCATTCGTATATATTAAATAATATCTTTTAAGACTAGAAATATTCATAACTATAGTTGTGGTCTTTAAATAAATTCACCACTAGGATTTATTACTATACATTCCCATAACCAGTAAACATTTTCCATTCAGTGTAGTCAGGGTTGTAAAAAATCCAGTGTTTATGGCTCTTATCTAGATGTCCCGCCAAAGCTCCATGAACTCATAGGTGGGGCTTTTTGGAGGTGGCTGGATCATGGGTATGTAATGCTGGATTAGGATGCATGATCCTGGGATTAAGGGTGTGAGATAACTAAATTGGTTTAGCACAGTTCTGGGTATGGATAATGAAAGCCTCATCCTGGGCATGCACTGCACCAATCAATAGGCTTGAATCTGTATGGAACAGAAAGGGACAGAAATAAGGCAGGCTTTCTGCTTTCTGCCTGCTGCTTGTTGCTTCCTGCGATAGTCCATGGACTATTTCTTTTCTGCCACACCTCTCTGCCATGCTGCCCTACCTTGGAGCCAGCTGACTATGGACTGCAACCTCTACAAACTGTGAGCTCAAATAAACCTTTCCTCCTTTAACCTATGAGTGTCAGGTGTCCCAGCAATGAGAAGGTAACTGGGACAGCTAGTGACATGCAGATGTGGCGATAACATCAACTCTATGATATAAAACATTTAACCTCAGAAATATATCATTTACACTGCTTCCCCCAAATGGTGGGAAACTGTTGTTAAATTTCAGACTAAATTATGTTGCATGTAACCTAAAAATTAATTACCCAATGAAAATGGAATTTTCACAGCAAAAATGTGTTCGTTCTTCAACATTATACAGTCTTTAGTTCATAAAGTACTGTTATTTAAAAAGCTAGAGCAAATGCTGTCATTTGAGTTATATGATTTAAGCAAATTGAAAGCTGTCCAAATTAAACTGATGAATCTTCAAACTGAAATAAAATATACGCTTCAAAGAAATAAGGCACAGGTATATTAAAATTTGTTTAAATAGCTTGACATATCAAATTTGACCAAAAAGGAAATATATGTGCCTGATTTTCCTTGTGAAAGAAATAATGGCATACATAATTAAATACATTTGAAGAATTCAAGTCTACATTATTTTCTAAGAAAATTATAGTTAAGACAAGAAGCTGTTATCCTCCACTTTTTATAGTAGTTGGATGTGAATTTTATTAATGCAAAAACATAAACCATATTTGGCATCGTATCAATTTGATTAATAGCTTTGAGGCTGAGGAGTTGATTTTAGTGATGAAAACTATGTCTTTCTGACATGAGGGTGTCAGACCTGGAATGGGATAGAACTAGACATGTACATGCATACTGAGGCCTTCTATAGGCTACAGACATTTTTATAATTGATTGACACTTTTGCGATTATTCATGAACATACAATAATTTAATAACTGCTTTGCATTACACTTTTTTTATTGAGCACTATTTTGATATTTTAAGTGGAGATATACCACAGAGTGCAAATGACAAAATATCTCTGCTTTCATGAAACTTGTATTTTCTAGTAGGGCTACTAAAATTAAGGAAAAATCTTCCTAAGTAAAATTTTTGAATTTTAATTCTGAAGGATATTAGAAATTCATAGGAAGGCTGGTATTTAAAAAGTGTTATTACTTTATGTCATGAGTATTGAGTTGATCTTAAAGTCAGAATATGCAGTTGCCTCAGCATCATTTACTTAAGAAAGACTGAATTTTCCATAATGTATGCTCTGAATGTCTTTTTAAAAAATGAAATGGCTGTAAATGCATGGATTTATTACTGAGCTTCCCATTTTGATTCATTAGTCTATGTGTGTTTTTTATTTCAAACCATGCTGTTTTGGTTACCATATTTGGATAATATATTTTAAAGTCAGAAAGAGCAATGCCCCCAGATTTATTCTTTTTTGTACAAAGTTGCTTTGACTATTGAGGGTTTTTTGTGGTTCCGCATAAATTTTATGATTATAATTTTGTATTTCTGCAAAAAAGATTTCACTGGTAATTTGGTAGGGATTCCATCGAATCTGTAATCATTTTTAGCATTATTGACATTTTAATGATGTTTATGTATTTAGTTTCTGTAAGCTAGGATAGCTTTTCATTTATTTGTCTTCTTTAATATCTTTCACCAATATTTTGTGCAGTTTTCATTGCAGGTATCTTTCACCTCTTTGATTAAATTTATTCCTGGGCTATTTTTTGGTAGCTATTGTAAATAGGATTTGTTTCTTGATTCATGTTTCAGCTAATTCACCATTGGTGAAAAGAAATGCTACTAATTTTTTAGGTTGATTTTTATCCTGCAATTTTACAATTTTACATTAGATCTAAGAGTCTGTCAATCTTTTTTTTTAAATATTAAGATCATGACACTGAAATTGACAATTTTACATATTCCTCTCTAATTTAGATCTTTTATTTATTTCTCCTGTGTAATTTTGCATAGCATTACAAATGTATGTATATACCATCATTCATTTATATAATCTTTATTGCTAGGGTATTGCCAATATCTTTCAGTTATAAATATTGAGATAATGAATAACCTTGTGTATTTGCATTTTCAAATAGTTGAAGATGTATGTTTAGGATAAGAAGATTGATTCATTGAAAATTAAAGGCATATGTTAAGTAATGTCAATTCCTCTGTGTAACTTTATAGCATTTTGTATTTCAATCAGAAACATGAAAATGTCTGATTCTCCATATCCTCAACAAAAGTGTATTGTCAAGCTTTTTGATAATTTCTAATTTGATGGATGATTACTAGTACTCTAGTAATACTTTATCTTACCATGAATGGAACCGTGCATATTATAATACCATTATTGACTCTATGTAGTCAATAAATGTGTGTATCTTTTGAGAATTCCCTATTCATGTGTTTTGTCCACTTTTTTGTAAAGTGTATGATGCTTCTTCCTCTTGATTTTTAAAATTAACAATATTGCTGTGTACTTTTACCTGTGATGCGTTAGCAATATTTTGCACTTGCATTATTGATCGCATTTTCCATACAATTTTAAAAAAGAAAAAGGAAGAAATTTTTGTGTTGTCAAAAGTTATGTTTTTTCTTTTATTACATTTGTGATTTTAGTCAGTTGGGACTCTTTACCAAACCTGATTTAGAGAGGAATTCTCTCATACTTTCTTCTTCATACTTTCTTACATTATGTTTGTTTCATTTTATTACGTTTAGACTTCTGGACACTTTTGTGTTTATTCTGTGTGTGACATAAGAATTGTACCTAACTTTATCTTTTTCAAAGTGACTGTACACTTTTCCCAATATCACTTATTAAAAAGATCCCTCTTTGACCCACTGATATTAGGTCTACTTCAATCCCCTAATAGATTTTTAAATCTATTACATCTATTCCTATTTTCCCAAGAGTTTATTAGAAATCAACAGTCTTTCTAATACAACTTCTGAAATGAAATAAAAACAATTGATAAAAGCTTCAGCTTGTGTGTGTTTGTGTGTATTTGTTGCAGGCATTATGGAAATGGTTTTAATCCCTTCTTTGAAGCTAGAAATATGCTTTCCTTTAAGCTCTCCTACAAAGTTCAAAGTTTCTGCTTATTTCCAACTGTATTCTTTTCATATAAATAATCAGGAGATTAAAAGTGCCTCAAGAAAGAACTACATGGGCATGTTTTCCTTGTTCATGCACCTCTGAAAGTTTCTGGCATTTCCACTTTTGCAAGAAGTTTTTATGGACAATTGTTGCATGAGCAAAAGCAATCTTGGTTAATGGGATCAGTTTCAAAAATTGCCCCCACTGAAGATATATTGAGTTCATAACTCTGTACACTATGAATATGACCTGATAAGCCAGATGAGTGAATATGACCTTAATATTGCATATATAGTGATTAAATTAATGTATTGGTGAGCTTTTCCGTTGCTAGGATCAAATACCTGATACAATTTAAAAGAGAGAGGTTTATTTTAGCCTGTAGTTTTGGGGTTTCAGTCCTGGCCAGCTGGCTTCAA